TATTTTCATTATTAGGGAGGATACGATAGAACTTACATACACAAAGGGTTCTCATGAAATATGGAAAGTATATCTAATACAGTTTTCATTTTATACGAATACAAAATATGTATGTCCCCTGCAATCTAAGTTAGAAGCGGACGAATGTTAAGATTGTCTTGAAAGTCATCCAAATGAACCCACATAAGACATTTTGAAAATGCACAAGCTAGCTTGTAAACGGGAAAACACATGTAGAACTTGAACTTCACATTTGGAAACATTTTCTTGAACAAAATGAATGTCCGTTTCGATGTGTTTAGTGTGTTGGTGTTGAACCGAATTCTGTTCTAAATAAATGGCGATCATATTGTCGCAATAGACATTGTTGCTTTAGTGAAACGGAAGTGGAGTTCAAGTAGGATAATTCGTAACCAACATGTAAATGTGAATATTTATTTGAATTTAGACGTGAAAACAATAATTAACTTGTAAATTTCACTAAATTAATTTGTGAATAATCAAAGTATTTAAATAGTAAGTCATATTCACATTGTAAATGTTGAAAACGGAATTATATAATATTCAGATTCAAAGTATGAACCCGACGAGATCAATGTGAAAAAAAAAACTAAAAAATTTATGCATTGATATAGATGTCTATTTATAGAGACAATCCCCAATGGAGGGACTCGCACGACGGGCTATTAGCTCAGTGGGTAGAGCGTGCCCCTAATAATTACGTTGTTGTGTTTGGGCTATGAAGACTCTCAACCACATGGATAGTTCAATGTGCTAAAAAATTATTAATTTTGTTATATTTATTTTTTTCGATATAAAATAAACCTATATATTAAAAAGAACAAACAACAAAACGAAATGGTTTTTTTTTAAAACAAGTTTCTTTTTATATTAATATGAAAATCTATAAAAAAGCATATAAAAGATTATGAATTTGTTTTTTTTTTATAATGATGTGTCCTAAAAATTTTTAAAAAAAAATGAAAAAAAGGATAACTTTTTTACTGGTGAATACACGTCCAACCTATAAACATACAACCCTTTTTTGGAATTTTTATCATTTTGTCTCTTACGATCAAAATTAGTTCTCTGGATATATAATTTAATAATGATTTCTTTAAAAATGAAAAAAAAGGATAACTTTTTTATATTTTTTTTAAATGATGTTTTCTTTAAAAGTTGGAAACATATTTTACAAAGATGGTTCTTATAGTTTTAAACAAATCGATAGTTCTTTTTAAAATTAATATTATTTTGAAACGATAAGTCTTGTATTTTAAAGATTTAATTGTTTTGACTTTTAAGTATTAGAATTTGAAGGGTGAAATTTTATTACTTGTAATTAATATAATAAGATAATAATTGGTTGGCCGAACGAGACATATGAATAGTTGAACCAAAATAGACACATATGATTTTTTTATAGGATTGTGGCCTTAGAAAACTTGTTGGTGGAATATAGGGTGCAGGTTAACAACAAAGCTTCGGTTAGAATTTGTCGGTTACGAGGTGAGTTTTTCGTGTTCTGTGGTTGCTCGCACATAAATATTTATCATGTGGGTTATATGCGGCTTTTCAATTATTTATTCGCAGTATGATTTATGATAAATATGGTTGTGTGCAAATGTTATTTTGGATTTGTTGTCTACTGTGTGTGTGTTTTTTTTGGGTGACATGTTTAGTGGGAACGGGTGGGGTGTTTAATCGTCGTGAGCATGGCGGATGTGTGTGATCGGTGGGGATGTGAATTGAGATTTATACTCATTTCCTTGGATATTTAAAATACTTGAGTACAATGGATGATGAGTTGTCTCAAGGAGAAGTGAAATGAACATTCGGTTCTTTCTCTAGACAATTAATCGACCCTTAAATTATGTCATCGGGTGATATATTTGTTGTATGATTTATTGAAGATATATGATAAAACTATATGTTTTTTTAAGTGATGGACATGTATGTGCAACACGAACTCACTAGGCCCTAAGCTTACTCATTTAGAAACTTTAAATGTGCGCAACCCAGGAAACTATTTATCAAGTGACAGTAAGAAGGCTAGGGAGAAGGATTGACCAACAAGACGAAAAAGGAGTTCTGCAAAGACGTAACACCCGAAACTCTTCGGTTGAAGACATTATTTTATTTTTTTGCTTCCGCTATAGTTAGTCTATAAGTAAGTTCAGAGTTGATCTTGGGATATGTTGGAACGGTTATGTTTCATTTAATCCATAGTTGAAAATTGGGGTGTTACAGATCCCATCTAGATAAATCGATTCCGATCTTACTTGGATCGTTTTTTTGATAAGGTCGCGGTAAGATCGTAGGATCGATCGTAAGAATGTAAGATTGTTATTAATTTTTCTAAAAAAATATAATATTTTTCTTTGGATTAATTACATAGAATACCATTTTTTGAATTGTTTATTGTTAAATAATGTATTGAATATATATTTTTATGCTTTAAACTATGTAATGTTAACCGAATGGTTAACTTATGGATGAAAATGCATTTTTTATCTTGTAAAATGTTTTTGGTAAGATCTTATGATTTGCTTTGATTTTACGATCATGATTTTGCAAGACAGAAAAAGAAAAAAGATCGTATATCAAGTCTTAATATTGACAACCATAATTTTTGTTGTGCATGCTCGAATTTATATAATAAACAATTTGTCTACAAAACTATTGGACATTAACCTTAGCAGGTGTGAGTTAATAAACATTTGCTGCTATTAAGAAAACTACATTAATACCCAGAAAATCTTGGAGTAGAAGATATCTAAATTGGTTTGACTGGTGTAATTCTCTTATTTTCATTGTTTGTATATGTTCTTACTTTTCTAGCAACACAACAAGAAATATAAGCTTTAGGGACGACACCATTAGGGACGACACTTGATAATACGCGTTTTTGTCGTCGCTAAATCCTCACGTCGTCGCTAATAAGGGCGTCGCGAAAGGGTTTGATCGGCGATCCGCATGAATGCTTCCGGATCAATTTTTGTCCCTACGATTGCATCCTGATCCAATGGATGGGGTTAGTTACTGTTCACACCAATAGGGGCGACGCCATTTGTGACGCCGCTGTCGCCGCTATAGGTGGCGAAAATATGAGCGCGTGAATTTCCCTCCAAATTGTCGTCTCTAAAGATTCAAAGTCGTCCCTAAAGGTGTCGCCCCTAAAGGTCGCAGAACCTGATTACTTTCCAGTTTCCATTTCTCTCTCATTTTTTCCGACGACAATCAGGAAGCATTTTTCGGCGAATTTTAGTGCATCCCACTTCTTCCGCCGGAGGGATTTGCAGCTTCTCACCAGGTTCCAGTTGCTCCACCGGCGACTATCACCACCTCAGCTCGCCACCGTCTCCGACGAACTTCTCCACCGGCGAAGGTGCGTTTCCCTTTCTCATTTCCACCGTCTTTTCTCTTTCTCTTTCTCTTTCTTTTCTTTCTTCTCTAATTTTGTTGATTTTGGTGGTTTTAAGGAGATTTCTCTAATCTCCGGCTTTTAGAACCACCACATCAACGCCACTGTTGCCGCCTGTCTCCGGCGACGACCACTGTCTCCGGCGACATCCACCGTTTCCGACGAACTTCTCCACCGACTCCACTGTTTTCAGCTCTACAACCACAGGTGAGTTCAATTTTTGTGTATATGTGTATGTATGAATTTGATATATGTTTGCATGTTTATTTTGTATAAGGAATTTGATATATGTGTATGTCTATTTGAAAATGTATTTCAAGAAAATGTGTTTGATATATGTATATGTCTATATGTGTATATGTATATGTATGTTTGGAATGTGTATACGTCTATTTGGTATGTTTGGAATGTGTATATGTCTATTTGGTATTTGTATATGTATAATTGGTATATTGTAATTGGTATTGAATTGGTATGTGTATATGTCTATTTGGTAAGTGTATATGTATGTATGTGCATTTGAAAATTTGTTTCAAGAAACCGTGTTTGATTGTATATTAATTTAGTGTATATATGATGTTATAATTGCAAAAATGTATATGGTTTGATTTAAGATAAAATGAGTGTAAAGATAAGTGCAACTACATAGGAGTATATATTATTTAAATTGCAATAATATAAAATATTGTTACAAATAAACTAAAAAAAAATCAAATGTAAAGATAACATCATCGTGCAACATTTTTAAATAACAATTTTTTGCTCATAAATAATATGTATGAATAATAGAAAAAAAGAACCGCATAAAACTTTTGTAGGGTGACTTAATTTTTAAGTAAGAATAATTTGTTTTTATAGTATGATATATCTTAACTTATATTCTTACTTTGTAGGATGTTGATGTTAATGCTTTTCTCCAAAACCCGACGTTTGTGACGATAATTGGAGATATTATCCGCTTATTTAGCAAGCAAGTCGACAATGCGACCAAAACGACGATGAAAACGATGATGGGGAAGACGATTAGTATATATTGTTTTATGTTATGGATGATGTTATTATGGATTTAGATGATGTTAATGTGATATACTTTGTTTATGTTATTTGATGTTTTATGTAATGCAGATTTTTAAATTATATGTTTTATAATTTTATAAATTCTGCATTTTTATACTATAAACTAATATAAAATATAAATTTTATCTAAAAAAAACAATCATTAGTGGCGACACCTTTAGGGACGATCTTAAGCATTAGCGACGACACATCCCGCCGGAATATTTGGCCGGAATAATACTGACCGGTGGCCGGAATATTATTAGGGACGACGACTGGTATTAGCGACGATAAGTATTAGAGACGACGACTTTAGGGACGACTTTGGAGTGTTAGCTACGAGGTATTTGCGGTGACCCAATTGAGACGACATGTCGTCCCTAATATCTTTAGGGGCGACTTTCTTGACTATTTGCGACGTTTTTTGTCGTCCCTAAAGGTGCCTTTTTTGTTGTGCAACTCACCGGTTTTGTTTTAATATGATTCCGCGGTTTAAAAAAAAAAAGAGGCATATAAATAAAGCGATGACATACAAATATTACAAGAGCACCAGTAAAATTTAAAGGCCGTAAAAATCATAGACATACACAGTAATATATGCATTATTCAAACAAAATAGTGCTCTCGATATTTATTGTAATATATATGCTTTTATTCTTCAGAACATGCATTAACATCTCGAGCTCACTACTGCACCCTGCAAAAACCACCATATGCCAAGCCACATCAATACAACAAATGTTTGTTCATGCAATATTTAAATCAGTAGATGTGTACTTAGATTTGTGACAGAGAAAAAAAAAATATAAGCATATATATATTTGAACGTACTCGGTGCAATTAGTGCTAGGACTGATCTTGTAAGGGATGTTGACACGACACTTGCGGGGGAGGCTAGCAGCATTGATAGGATTGATTCCGGAATTTTCCGCAGAAGCACTCTTTAAACAGCGACAAGCCATCTGACGATCACAGGTTGTATTTGCAGTGTTATTGAGTGCCCTAACCCCATTGCAACATAACGTTGACACACCACCACCTTCTGTTAGGTAGTCAATGCATGGAGATAAGATCCTTATCACCTGACGACAGGAAATATCGGCCTCTGCATAGGGTGCCGCCACCACCATGCAAGTCGCCACTACACATAAGACCATCGTTACCATCCTCGCCATTTTTCTAGTGTACAAGCACTAAAGGCGTAGGAAACTTATATGAGATTGAAAATGTATTTGGTGCAAGAATCGTTGTCAAAGGTATTTATAGGGATTCTTGTCCATGTCTATTTATGTGTGAATGGATTGGTTGGTTAGAACTTGGAATCAATATTAATGGAACCTTCAACACCTTTAATTGATGTGTAGCCGTAATCGTTCCATTTAACTACTTCATAATAATGGTGGAGCTCGCTTTTAGTTGTAGGCATGGCTATCACTTACCAAGGCGGACCACGCTTGGGATTTTTGATCTTCAATTCTATATATCACAAATTACTTCTTATTTTTCCTCCCAACAAGATTTCATGTTGCAAGTGATGTCCAGCCAAGTTAAGTTAATGCACCGGGTTTTATATACATATGTGACGTGAGGTTGAGAGTTTGATTCCTTAAACTAACTCTTGTGGTGTTACATATAAAGAATTTTTCCCTGAAAATCTCTATAGGTGTTAGGTTTGCCTGTAAAAAACTCAAATTCAGGGTGCTGTGAAATATTACATGTATAGAAAGAAGAAAAAAAAACAAGATGTCATGCTATTGCTACTCACTTGCATTTGGTAGTCGGTAGACATAACTTAGAGAGTAAGTATATGAAATATAACTAATTATCTTACTAAATATAACTAATTATCGTACTAAGTTGTACAAAACAGTTTATTTAATTTGTTTGTATTATCGATAAAAAAAATGGCATAATGAATGAGAAAATCCACATTAACCAAAAAGAATTACTAAAAGAAATTAAATGATCAATAATAATAATACAATATTCCGTTTATATTATGAAAAAATATTTTTTAATAGCTTGATACAAAGTAAACAAAAATAATTAGTGTGGTCATTAATTAGAAACCAGCTATTTTAGGCTCAATAGTTTTTTCTCTCATACTATTCCCCATAAAGTAAGTTTGTCCAAATTAAATATATCATTAACTTCGTATAAGACATTATTCTCAACTATTAAGTTAGTTCAATATGTATGGTTATGATATCATTTAAAACATGTTTTACCACTTTAAGGTGCTTATTGGTTCATCTAGTGTCTATATATCATTAACTTATAACTTATGGAAATCATGGTTGGTATGTTCAAAATAATTATTATATAAACAAAAATAATCATAAATGTCAACAAAATCAAAAGGAATGTATTTTAGATTGCAAGTAAAGTTGAATTAATTTGATAACTAAAAAAAAAGAAAAATCTTTTAACTTACACTTTGAAACATTTCTATATATACCACATTGAAAGTTTTATTGGTCAAATTATCATTTTTATATAAAATCAATAACTTTAATCTTTGTCTTCTCCCTTTACTCTTGGTAAAACAATATATAATTGACTACGTGTGAAAACTAATTCTCGTAAAAACAAGTCAACATTTAACAGTGAATGACATTGACTTTTATTTATAGGCATAGCAAAACAAACAGTCAAGGGAGATTGTCTCCTTTTGAATTCAAATGAAATTTTGACGCCTGGAGGTGTTAAAGACAAATTTGAAATAAAAGTCCAATGTCTGATATTGCTTCCAGTTATGACGACTGTTTCTTTAACACGGTTACCCAATGATATCTCCTGAAGTCTAGTCTCATTACATAAGTCGTTTTTCTGATTGATGTTTCTTAGTAACAAAACCTAAACACTGACTTTTAAAAATAAATTATGGTTTGGCAACCCGAAGAATTTAAGTCCATTTATAACATCAAGTAAGTATAAAATCTCATCAAATTAAGCGTGAGGAAACTCTTACTGGCAGATATTGTGATATCCCTTATTTTTTTCAGAACCGAAAAAATAACTTTTCATTAAGCTTTAAAAATCATAATATATTTTATACCGGAAATTCTCAATACATTATGATATTTTGAAAACAAAAGATTGTCTTAAAATGATAAAAACTCTAAGCATGTTATATTCGATACACAACATATGCTATAGCGTAAAGACCTAATGGTCCATAACACTATTGTAGGTCTTCTCTTCAATCACTCAACATCCTATTCAAATCTTCAGCAGTCCTAAATGCGCTACCTGTGATGCATATAAAATGAGTAGGTCAGGTTGGGAAACATGGTGAGATACATAGGGGTTTTAATCCCACAATGTTTTAATGATAATAATATATATCTCATACCTACAATACTAACAATTATCAACAACACAAATATATCTTATATCTATAACGCAATCTATCCCATCTCGTTCATCCTCACATACTGATTATAGACAACAACCTTACTAGATCTTTCTAGATGGATCATTGTGAACAACAAGTTGACTATACTGCTTAGGGGATTCTGTGGAAGTAGACGCAGATCAATAAAGACAATATATAAGTGGAATGAATTACCCGAATGAACAAACAATGAAAATGCCCCAGAGAGTATGATTCATAATGGAGCACACGAATGAACACACTATCCAAACGCCCTAGATAGTATGATTCAGAATGGATTACACGAGTGAACACATAATCCAGACACCCCACATATTATGACTTTTATCACCACAAGACAATTAAGTCAGAGGGGGGTCATTTATACTTCGTTAGTTGACTTAGACATATATAGCAGTGGTCTGATACAGACACACCCTATCTGGCAGTCTCATAAAGTTCATCTGATCACTTTGTAAATAAAAATGATAACACACGAAGTTCGTGAAAAATAAAAGAGGGGGAATACTAAAACAAACACTCATGTACGTAAAATGTACCCACCGGTCATCAATAAGTAAAAGGAGGGGGGATACTAATAGAGCACTCATGTACGTAGAACGTCCCCTATCGGTCATCAATATCGTTGAACATAGTTCTACGCTCCGTTCCCATCTCACACACCTTTAGTCTGATGCTACCCAATATTCAAACTTAATTGAACTAAGCATCTCCTCTGGGTTTACAATACTCATAATCATCCTTCAACATCAATTTCCTACCTATGTAATATCTTTATGGCCCAAGGTATAACTAATATTCCTTTCAACTCAAATCGAACTAAGCATCCTTTATAAGTCTTATCTTATCACTAGGCAAGACTACAACGCTTATAATTAACTTTCAATACCAACTCTGTTTAGGAAACACTATCCTAATTTAGTGTATATTTTTTAACATAGAGTATTAGTTATTTTATCTTCTTATTAATAATACTTTTATAATTATTATCATATAATATACATCATAACACATAGAGAACCATATCGTGTTCGCACAACGTATATTATCAGTAATACATCTAACACATATTTCAGTCAATAAACGTATAATTCTCATATAATTTGCATCATATGTTTAATTCTTTTAATAAATACTTGTATTAAATCATGTTCATGAAAGTAACTATGCACTCACCTGATTGAGGTGGAAGATCCACGGTTAGGCCAACTCCTCGCCTAACAGTTTAGCTTATTCCTTTTAAACATCCTAAATACGAATATCGCTATGCTTCAGTATTCCTGCGTATTTATAAGCTTATAATTATTTCTGGATCCTTAAATAATTCCAAGAAATACTTTAGGCTCCATCAAATAAGGAACAACCACATAAAATCATATCAGAGGTAGGATCCGTTTTGCATATATATATATATATATATATATATATATATATATATATATATATATATATATATATATATATTGTTTGGAAAGTCCAGTTTAAACACCTCACTAGATCTAGCCTAGACATTACTTTCATAAGTAGATAAATCAGTATTATGACTTGTAATTTCTGATGAATCTTATTTATAAATTCATAATAATGACAAGTCAGAAAGTTCAAAGGCAGAACTTCGACTCCGAGTACTTCATCTCGTCGGGATTTTCTACACCGCAACATCTCGTTAAAATGTCCAAGCTTCAGAAGTCGAACCGCAGAGTTTTGAGAGAGAGAGTTTGAAAGAGAAATCTGAATTAGGGTGTAAGCAAATGACACATAATTCGTCTCCTATTTATAAGGAATATCATAAGGTGAACCGCGCCTTGTGGATAAGAGCGTGTCGTGCTCTCTCGACGACGCTCCTCCCGTTTGCTGCCACGTATCACACTCTCGTTGCAGGTCCATGCCGATAACGTGTCATGATGTCGTTGGACGATACGACGCCATGTGGTGTGTTCTTGGTCCGCCACGTCATCATACGCAGGTATTTTCTAAGATTTTCAAAAAATCATGTCTCTGACATACGAGCTTTGTTTTCGACGTGCTTTATTTCTACGCGTAGGTATTTCCAAGTACCACAACTTTCCTTTAGGTATCGACAGCTAATTCTCAATCTATTTTAATTTCATATTTTATAGAGATTACACTCTTAAAAATCTGTGCAAAAATCATAACTTCGTTCTTGATTGTCTTTATATCGACGGATTCATATTTAGGAGATATTCACCTCTCGTATACATTGTTTTGGCTAACACTCAACTAATTTTAATATCAATATCTATGTCATACACTGTTGCACCGAAACTTCAAAAAAATCTTAACTTACTCATACGAAGTTACATTTAGGCGTTCTTTATATGCACGCTCTCACAATTATGATTACTATGTGTTTCATTTAGACTACTGAGGCTAATAAGCAACTTATCTCCGAGTCATATTTTACGACACACTTTGTCATGTATGGTTGACCTCAAAACTTTGAACATTCATAATATCTTCATGCGAAGTCAGATTTGAGCGTTATTTATACCCATGAAATTGGCATCGCGGCTGCTGCAACTTTCATAAAGACCATTTATCCTAAATAGTCTTTTATTTTTAAACGTTTATAATAATAATAATGTTATATACAAATATTATAATCCCATAACATTTTCCCATAAAACATGTACGCAATATACAAATATATAAACATGTAATGCCCAAATTTGCAGGCATTACAATTACATCCCCCTTAGGATGATTACGTCCCAGAATCATATAACGGCAAAACAACTCTGGATATTGATCCCTTAAGTTGCTTCTCCATCCCACGTAAGGATAGTCTCTGTACTGTGCTCCCACAGTACTAAATCATCTC